TAATTATTTATTCAGATTAATTATTAATTAAACAAATTAATAGTCATGTTCTCTGGAACAAGTCATACAATGTCAGGCCTTCAAAGTAGGCCTCTTCACAAAACAGACCCCACAAGGATTCCAGGAAAGCTATTTTATTGTAGTAGGGTATAATAACAGATTCTTGAAAGCCTGCCAATTTTCCTCTGCCCCCCCTTCTACCAAACAGAATCAAGGTGGGGTTTGTCTTGAGTTTCATTCTCACCCCTTCCCCTTTCCCAGGGCTGAGTTGCTGTTTTAACTCCCTTAATGGTTCCTGCATTCCTTCATCAAGGTTATCTCCAACTTTGTCTACATACTGGGATGAGTTCCTGGCTCACATCACCTGAGAGGTGCACACTGGATTAGACCCGGGTGGCTCACTGGCTGTCTTTTTCAGCCCCTGAGCAACGATTGAGTGAGGCTCATGCTGGAAGAGACTCAATGTGGGTTTGTCTGGTCCAGTGTTTCTCAACCTTGGCCACTTTAAGATATGTGGACTTCAACTTCCAGAATTCTCTGGAAATTCTGGGAGATGAAGTCCACATATCTTAAAGTGGCCAAGGTTGAGAACACTGGTCTAGTCCCTGTACCTTCTGAATTGTGGATTCATCCAGATTTATCCACCATCTCTCAGAGGTTTCCCCACCCACTCTCAATCCTACTGTCCTGGCCCCAGCCTCCAAGTGTGGCCAGTGATGATGACTCTGAACCGCATGTACTTCTAAGTTGGGGGATACGGGCAAGAGTATATTGTCTTGCAAGGCAGTCTTTAGAGTAGAGATGGCATAAAATAGCACAGAGCAGTGTCTGTCAACCTCAGCAACTTTAAGGTGTGTGGACTTCCAGAATTCCTCAGCCAGGAAACTCTATGCTGGTTGGCCTGCTAAGCTTGGCGAAGAATGCACTCTGTTGCTCCTGCGCACTTCTGGTGCATTTGGCTGCAACATTCTGTTTAAGTTTAAAGCTGGAAGGATATTTTGTGTTTCTCTCTCCTAAGCAGCAGATTGATTGATTGATTGATTGACTGACTGATTGATTTCCTTCCCTCCCTCCAAGACTGATTCTACCTAGTAAGAACTACAATTCTCTTTTTATTTTTGGCAGCAGGTTGGGAAAAAAGGGCAAAAAACTACAAGTGGACTTTAAATATTGGAGTGAAGAAAGATAATCCACATTCTTGACGATCTGCAAGATTTGGTTTAGGTAGACCACACAGATTTAGAAGAAGACTTTTATTTTAATTGAACAGATCAAGTAGAATTGATTTAATATTTTCTGCCAGGATGTCCTCCTGCTCTGGAGGAGGTAAATGTCTGAAAAGGGTGGGAGAGATCAAAAACGCAGAGCCCGCCTATGTCAGCTCGTGCTCCTTTCAATTAAAATAGACACACACCCCACACCGCCCAGGGCAAACAAAAAGCCTGATTTTTGCAGCCCAAGAGTCTTGCTGTAAATCTCTTTTTCCACAGCTGTAACATCCAAAAGTATTTTTTTTCCACCAAAAAACAGGCCAATCAATTTGGGGTTTGTTCGTGCCAAACCATAGCCAGCCCCAAACAAGTTGAAAAAATTTCCAAAACACAATGTTTTGTTTTAAATGCAGAAAAAACAACCAGGAAAAAGGGAGCTGCAAGAGCCTTTTGTGCTGAAATCTGATCGACAATATAGAGAAGTGATTTCGCAGTATGCCCTCAGTTTTAATTCAAAGCAAAAACCCTTCACTTAAGGGCTCAGAAAACAAGAAGAAAACAATGCCTAGAACAGCAATCTATGAAACTTGGCATTTAAAGGAGAGTCCAACAGGAAGAATAATTAAAAATAGCCTTTTTCATTGTAAGAATACCAGGGACTAGAAACGTGAAATGCAACAC